CTTACATCCAATTGGGGTCTTACTAGAGGGTAAAGGGACTAGAGACGAGGTTTTATTGAGCTTTAAAGCCTGTATCTCTTTTTGCATTGCAGCCTGTGAAACTGAAAAACTAAAAGAGAGAAAGTTGAAAAATGCATGAATCTTTTCTTATTATTCTCAGAGACATACATTTGTTTATATACAGAGGAAGAGAGAAGAAACTGATGTTAAGAATAAAACTCAGCTAGACGATAAGCTAAAGAGTAAAGTTTTCTTCTCTTCTCAAAACGACGCCGTTCTCTCTTTTGTAGATTTGCAGTTTTACGAAACTGCCCTCTTTTCAGTCTGGCTAACATTCCCCCTCAGATTGCACTATGGNAACAAAAAGAGAAAATCAAAATGCTTGAAGAACAACAAGCTCGTATGTTGGAGATGTTGACTCACATGACTATAGCAGCTGCACGCGCTCAACTTGCTTCCGCTCCAACTGGATTGCCATCTCCATCTCCAACTGATGATAAGTCTTCCTCATCTATTACAACTGCTTGTAGAACCTCAACTGGTGACATTTGAGATGCTAACATTGATGGTTAGTTTTTTGTTGTATGGGTAGTACATATTTTGACGTGGGGGGAGGACAATCTTTTTGGACTTTTTGGGATAGCTTGCACATATCCTTAGATGATGTACATGCGGTGGACATTTTGTTTTTGGAGTTATGCACAGATAGATAGGTACTGGTGAAAATGTGGGGTGCATGCTTTCTTTTTTGTTTATGCACACATGGTAGTGATGCATTTGAGATTTTTATTGCTCATCATGCATAAAAATCCATGTATGGACTATTAATTTTATATGCATTGAAGATATTTGATGTTATTAATCCAAATTTTTATATTGTGCCACTCTTATGCTGTTGATGTTGAATGTATAAACGAGTTGCTGTCTCAGTATTAACAACAGGGAAAAAAGTAGCTGATTTGGATCTTGTCACCATGGGGTGAACATTGACAGTAGAATGGACCCGAGAGGTTGAGTTATCATGAGATTTAAAGAGAGAGTGATCATCCGCAGGACTGAGATCTGATAAAGCTCTTGCTAATGACTCATTTTGGGAGGCAAAGGTAGTAGGCTGTGGTGTTTGTGGGATGAGGGAATTTTGAGATCAATTTCTGGGGTACAAGTTGGTGGAATAAAGGTAGGAGGCAAGGCTGGTAAAGAGGATATAAGTTGAGATTTACTTGGTAAGGGTAAGGTAGAAGGTGTTGTTTGAGATTATGATAATGATGAAGGTGAAGTAGGTCTCGGTGATGAATTTATGATGTGATTAGGAGATGATGGTGATGCAGAAGTAGGTTCTAAGGAGGAGTGTGGTATTTGTGATAATGTTGAATCTGGAATATGCTTACCAACTGCTGTGATGTTAGGCAAATTCCTGTTGGGAGCATTAGATATTGTAGATGGGACAAGACCATTCAAGGAGGGGGGATGAGAAATCTCAATGTAGGGAAAGGGTGCAAAATGCTAATCTGAAGTAACAGTGTGTGAGGATTGACCAGAGGATGTATGTAGAGAAGACTCAAAACATAAATCTTTGCAAGAAAAAGGAAATTCAGTCTCATTAAATTTGACACTAAGTGTAACAAATATTTTTCCATTAGACCTGAGGCATTTATATCCTTTATTGTCCAACCTACCGATCTAACCGGTCAAACCAGAAACCGAAAATTGAACCCTTGAACGAGTCATAGTTCGGTATGGTTTTCGGAGCATTGATATTAACCATGCCATGCATGCGTCTATAAAATAATGTCATCACGGTGAGCATTTTTTTTCCGTTGATAGAACATTCTCTCTCTCTCTCTCTCTCTCTCTCTCTCTCTCTCTCTCTCTCTCTCTCTCTCTCTCTTTGTGATGATAATTAACAAATATTTTTAGATCACAACATGTAAATATCAACTTAATATCCATCAATGTTTTTAGTAGAGAAATTAATTAACATTAGGGAGAACGACATGTTCACACACAAGGTTTGACGAAATGACACTTTCCCACCCATCAAGTTTCAAAATGATACTTTCCCACCTTTTGTTAGGTTCTATTAATGTTTTCTATTAATATTTTACTGAAAAGATGAAAATACAGTCAAATAGTTTATTTCTTAATTTGTTTATTATAAATTAAAATTTAATTAGGTAAAAGTCTTTAGTTGATTATTTATTAGTTCAAGTGTAAAGATACTTTTTTTTCTTTGCTTATTTAATTAATTATGAATATTAATTTTCTATATTAATTAGGAAAAATGAAAAAACATTATATTATGAAAAACATTATAAATTTAGTAGATTATTGAATAATGGTGATGAGATATTGATGACATTATAAATAAATAAATATTAAGATAATTTAACTTTAAATAATTTCATAGCATTACTCCTAATTTTTTAGGTAAGACTAACAACTTTTTCTTTTTTTACTGTTTAGCTAAGTAAAAATTTATAAAGTCAAATTTTTAAGGATACTTTCGTCTTTTTAATACAATATTAACAGAAAACATAACAAAACCTAACGAAAGTGTGAAAGTGTCATTTTCAAAGTTGAAGGTGAGAAAGTATCATTTTGTCAAACCTTGGGTGGGAAAATGTCGTTCTCGCTTAACATTAATTAGTAGACTTGATAGAATGTCCATTTTGAGAGTAACACCACTACATGTACACTTCCCAAAAAGTACAATTTCCTACATTTTATATTTTAAGGGTGCTGTGAAAATAAGCACCACATTTGGACACCTGTTAATGAGTTGCATAAGTATAACAATTAGAGTGATGCTATGGGTACTAACGGATGGGTACTAATCTGTGTACTAACTAAAGCATAGTACCCGTACTATGTGTATAGTACCTGTACTATGTGTATAGTACCTGTACTATGCTTTAGTTAGTACACAGATTAGTACCCATCCATTAGTACCCAAAGTATTATTCTAACAATTAACAACACGTCAAATACAATGACGGAACACAAAAGGGGGGCTCATGCTGGCTTGTACTGTGCTACAGCCAAGACAACTGTTATTTTTTATTTTTAAATAAAAAAGAGCAGGCTGAGTTATCGGCAGTAAGATTGGGTTGTTAAATAAATGAATAATATTGTACGTACTAACAGATTTTACTAATCAATGTATTAACCTTTGTTAAAATCACACATGGTACCCGTACTATGCGTATGGTACCCATAATATGCTTTAAGTTAGTACACCAGTTTGTAGAATCCATTAATACCTATAGCATTACCCTAAATAAATTGCCAGAGTTAACATGATTTTGTATGTGACAGTAATTAAATTAGCAATGGCAATAGTTTAGGTCGGCTTATACATCTTAATATGAAAGTTTTGATTTATTTCAAAATGTGACTTTAATTTTTATGCGCAAGATTTTTATCTTTTAGTGACAGAAGAGGAAAAACAAAGTCAAAAAAGGTAATATTATGCGTACTAACGGATTTTACTAACTAGTGTACTAACTTAAAGTATAGTACGGGTACCATACATATAGTACGGTTACTATTTGTGATTTTAACAACAGTTAGTACACTGGTTAGTCAAATCCGTTAGTACGCAAAGTATTATTCAAAAACAAATTCTTACATGTCAGAGTTGAAATCTAGATTTTAGGTTTGTACATGACATAGTTTAGTGTACTGTACTATATATTTTAAATACATTTATCATTTATCATTTAGTTGGAATATATTACTTTGGATTAGAATACTATATATTGCTCTTTTTCCTATTTAATCGTAATTTATATATGTACTGTTTTATTTATTCGCTACATATGTGAAATTAATATATAGGGATCTGGAACAATAGCTAAAAATTCCTAATTGCTTTATACAAAATGATTTATATAATTAAGTTGAGGGTTGTTTTTATCTTTACTGTTGTTAACCATGTTACCATGCAAAGCAAGCTGCAACTTTAAGAAAACTCATGCAGGTTTCTTTTGTCTTTTCACAGTAAAATTAGTTAAAGCAAGTTGGCTTTTAGCGCCAGTTTTTCAGTTCGGCACGTTATGTGCTTTCCAACAAAATGCAAGTGGGAGCTCAAGTGGCAGAGCAAGTTGTTGATCTAATGGTGGAAGATTGCAGCTGAAGAATAAGTTCAATGGAGAAGATTGCTTGAAAGATCAAGTGGCTGTGTATAAATTGTAGTCACTGTCAAGATTCATAGTAGCGAAATTTTTCTGTTAATGAAAGAATTATAAACACGCATTCTTCATACTCTGTTTTTCTGCATTTTTTTTCTGTTACTTTCTTTTTCAATAACTGTTAGTAATTACTGTTCTTTTTCGGTGGTTGCTTTGAAGATTAGCGTTTCACGTGTGGTTGCTTTGAAGATCAGTGTTTTACGAATACGGAGCCACCTATCATGGAGGAAAGCTTGAAGCCTACTACTGATTCTTTTATTTTCAAGGTTCCTAAAAGTATTCGTAAAATCAGTGAAGAAACTTACACTCCTATATTATTTTTTAAACGTGCTGTAGACGATGTTGAAAAAAAAAAAAAAAAAAAAAAAAAAGGGATTTTCGCCCTCCTGTAAATGAAGAAACTTACACTCCTCAATTAGTTTCAATAGGTCCTTACCACCATGATAAATCAGAATTGAAGGCCATGGAAAAAGAGAAAAGGAGGTACGAGGAAAGTTTTTTTCAACGAATTAGAATAGAGAAAAAGGAAGAAATTTTAAACTACATCCGAGACAGCGAAGGACGTATTCGTGATCTTTTTTCAGATAGCACTGATCACATTGAGAAACTCAATTTGAAAGTATGATTTTGCATGATGCTATCTTCATCATCGAACTCTTCGTGAGGAATTATGAGGAGACAAGCGATCCTATGCTAAGAGTACTCGGAACGAAAAGTGGTTTATCCGTGGACTTGTAATTACTTGAAAATCAACTTCCATTCTCCGTGATTGAGGATATATATAAGTTAAGTATTCTTAGCCCCACCTTCATGGATCTTGCTTATGGTTTCTTCAGCAGTACTGATATCTCGCTCTGCAGCTTACCTGATCCGACAGTAAAAATTAAACATTTCACTGATTTCAGAAGAAGTGTTATGCTAAAAGGGTTCAAGAAATGCTGCCTGAAGCGAACTGGAAAAATTGTATATTTACCTTCTGCAGCGAAGCTGCGCAGGTCAGGAGTGAAGTTTAAACTTAGTGAAGAAAAATGTTTACTTAACATAAGATTTGAAAATCGACTTTTCCCATGGTTGAATTGTGGAGGGGCTGACCTGAAAATACCAAATCTGGTACTATACGAGAACACAGAAAAGTTACTTCTGAACGTGATGGCTTTGGAGCAATGTGTCTATCCAGATGATGCACTGGATTTACTTGTTGATGAGGAAATAATAAGCAATTTTCTTGGAGACTTTGCTTCAGTAGCAAATATGTTTAACAGACTTTCCTTAGAAATTCGTAAGAGAGATTCTAGTTACTATGGCATTTGCGAGGATCTGAAAAAGCACTATAAGAATCGTTGCAACCATACTATGGAAGCCTTTATACGTTGGTTCTTTGATCCCTTGAAAGCCCTCGGAACTGTTTTGGCCCTTATAGCGCTGGTGCTTAGTTTTATACAAACCATATCATCCAGCAGATAAGCTTACCAGCGGATCTGCTCCTTGTACGCCTTGTTGATTGTGATAGTTGCATTTGATCAGCTTGTCATTCTGATAATAATGGGTTCAACCATTTTGCGCGCAATGTTCTTAATTTCTTCTTAAAACAAATATTTTTTTTAATTATATCTTTTTATGAGAAAACAATAATTAGATTTAATTGCTCTTTTCCCATCTTTTGAGTGTGACATTAATGCTGAAGTAGATAATTTGTAGATGAATTTTGTTTGAGCAATTCTTGTTATTATAACTTTTGCAAGGAACTGAAAGTGTGCTATAACAATCCTTGAAACGAAACTAAGGCAAATTTGAAGAGTGTTTATTTAAGCAATATCTGCAGAGGAAACAATAATTTTGTTTCGGCAATTAATTTTACTCATGTTGCTCACTGCGATACAAATCATACGATTCTGTCATGCAATTAGTCTTTACTTTAATAATTGTATTAGACCCACCATCTAGTGTAAAGAAAAACACTATGTTTACTCACGGTTTGTACTAACCCCCTTACAACCTTTGTTAAAATTTTACATGGTACCCGTACTATGCGTATAGTACCAGTACTATGCGTTATATTTACAAAGGATAGTAAGATGGTTAGTAAGATGGTGAGTAAGTATAGTATGGTTCCTAGTGTAAATAAGTTAAATTGAAACCTTCTTACTGATTTGTCACTCTGCATTTTTAATTAAATAATTTATTTTTGTAAGGGTGTTTTAGGGATAACATTATTTTATAGATTGCTTTTAATATTTTCCCCATACATAAAGTATGATTCATACTGTATGAAGAGGAATACGGATTCTTGAAGTTCATTCTTATTCCTTGGTTAGTTGAACAACCAAAAAAAGGAATTAGCATTACTTTCATTTGAGGATTTATCCAAACCAACGTATAAGGAATCCTAATTTCTTTCCTTGCGTGCTTGACCAAAATTGTAGTCTTCGTTTAACCTTTGGAATAATATGTGGACAAAAGAGGAAGCAGAAGAGAGAAAACGCATTATCAAAGAGAGGTCAGGGAGAGAGAAATACCACAAATGATAAGAAATCTCTGTGAGCTGTGATATCCGAGAGGAGGAAGTTTGATCATTACCAACACCAGATTCACAGAGTATAAAAGGCGAAGGACAGGGGAACCTACCTAGCAAATGATCCTCCAATTCATGCGATCCAACCGTGAAGAGTACTTGAGAGCTCCAAAATCTGTAGTTATTTCATGTTAACTTGGGACTTATGACCTGTAAACTTGAAGCAACAACTGAGATGGTTCGATTTGCAGAGGCACGCATCATTTCTTCTGCGCTGTTAGGCGATGGAAATGACGAGGAATCTTTAGCCATAGACGTGAGTCAGTGGCTCTGATACCATGTGAGAAAAGTCAAGAAAGAGCGAAAATGAATGAGAGAAACTGCTTTTCTTCTATATTGATTTCTTAACAAACTTTACAATAATCTGAGTTTATATACTAGCTCAAAGACATGAGCTGAACTCAGTCAACTGATAAAACAGATTCAACTCAATTTTAGTTTCAGAACTACGTCGTTTATACAAGAACAGTTTGCTCCCCCTATCTTTCATTTCTAATAGTTTAACCCATTGACTTGCATGGTCAATATTCCCCCTCAAAGTGGACTACTGTGCACCTCCTGGAACCTTGTTCCTTAATCTTAACATGGTCAACATGTAAGTGGCTTTTTTTAATTGTGATGAAAAAATTGAATGAAATAATGAATGCCTCCTCTTGCTAATTATTATGAACTAAAGAAATGACCAAATTTGTTGTTTTGGCTTGTTGCCGTTGGTGTTTTTGGGCTTGGGTCCATGGCATGGCTTGCTGGTTTGGTTTTGCTCTATCCTGTGAGTGGTGTGCTGTTGGTTGTGTTGCTTCTTGGATGGCCTGGTGCTGGTTTGTTTTGTGGGGGTTTAGGTGTTTTGATTTTAGTTTACACATTGGTGAGTCTATGGAGAAAAGGGATTATGATTAATCTATGGAGAAAAGGGATCTGTTGTTTTTTCTTTGAATTGATTCTGACATTTGATTGAAAATAAGACGATGAGAATGATGGTTAATATACCAAATACTCACGTTTCTCTTTCAATTTGCTTTAACTTTAATATGTTAAAAAAAAATTTAATAAAAAAGGAGAATGAAAACAAATTGAACTAAAACTCTCTAGCTTTCCCTCTCAAACCAAACAAGTATCCAAAATAACCCTACAAAGAAAACGCGTTGACTGAAATAAAGCTTAGGCTTTGGATTGGTTACATTTTTTGGGTGTGTTCATCTTTTAAAATGGTTGTAATATTAATGATCACCAATTCAAATGGTTTTGCATTACATAAATGAAGAAAGACTTGTTGTAACAAATTGTAAAAGTACATAAAATAAATTAACTTTGAAGTGAGGGGCAGGGCGCCCACAATTTAACAAACGAAGTTTCTTTTTTGTTATTATTTCAATGATTGGAAAGTGGAAGAAGCATTTAATTTAATCTTTGATTTGTTATTCGAGATATTAATGATAGCTTAAGGACTTTTTTTTCCCTTTCCATTTTCCATGTCAAAACTAAACTTCGGGCTTAAAAGGGTTTAGGTGTTTTTGTTTTGGTTAACAAATTGATCGGTGTTTTATGTTATTTTATGATTGCTAGGGCAGCCTACGGATAATTGTCTTTCCTTGGACGTATACATTAAGGGGTAGTTTTAAACTTTGTATAATTTGTGGTTTAAGTAAAGACTTACATAATGTGCGTTAAATTGTTTTATACTGAAAATTATTAGATGATGATGGATGATCTATTTTAAAAATATTTCAGATATTAATTTCTCATTCATTTTCTTTAAGCTATGAAATTGTTTTGTTCTTACAAAACCAATTTTTTTTAGAAAACCTAATTGTTAAAATAAATTGATTTATCTTAAAATTTCAAATTAAAGTTTACTGAGATTTATTATTTACATAAGATAGCATACTTTTAGGTATTTGAGGATCTTAAAGTTGATTTGAAAACCAAGGCTGAGAAGAGTGAGGGCACCACTGCTACTACAACCATAAAAAAGAAGGTATAAATTACGTAAATTGAAATTGAAATAATCTATTGATCATTTATATTCATTTACATTATCACTTGTAGTATATTTTTTGTTGGTATCTATTTATTTTTTTGTTTTGTATGGAGATGACTATGGTTTAATTGGGTTGAGTAGTGTCTTTGTGAAACTGAATTTTTGTTTTGTTTGTGAACCCAGAAGGTCACAATGGGTAGAAGATGGATTTGGTTGTCTAATAGGTTGTGCGATCAATATGTTTAAAAAATTGAGTCTTTCGTAGACATTGCAAAACAACACTTGAATAGTGAGGGTAGGACTCGCTGCCCATGTAGAACTTGTTTGAATACAAGATCACATGATATATATTCACCATTCAGCTACATTTGTATAGATATGGGTTTTTTAGAAGTTGCGATGTATGGACTTTTCATGGGGAACACATGAATCTAGGAACCATATTTGATGACATGTCTGACGATGAAGTGGACAATGAATATGAAGATGACGATGACGATGAAATCATGGAAATGCTGAATGATGCTTGTGGTCCAGTAAACATGCGTATGAATGAGGAAGTGTTTGGTAAAGCTTCTTGCTTCAACCAGAATTTTGCATTTTCTGTGACTCAACAGCATGATACATCAGAAGTAACAGAGTTAAGGGGCATAGTTGAACCACAACAATATAGGATTAAATATTTAGAGGAGCAGTTCATACTATTTGATCAACAAAAATAGAAAATCAAAATGCTTGAAGAACAACAAGCTCATATGTTGGAGATGTTGACTCACATGACTATAGCAGCTGCACGCGCTCAACCTGCTACCGCTCCAACTGGACTGCCATCTCCATCTCCAACTGATGATGAATCTTCCTGATCTATTGCAACTGCTTGTAGAACCTCAACTGGTGACATTTGAGATGCTAACATTGAGGGTTAGTTTTTTATTGTATGAGCAGTACATATTTTGACATGGGGGTAGGACAATCTTTTTGGACTTTTTGGGATAGTTTGCACATATCCTTAGACGATGTATATGGGGTGGGCATTTTGTTAGTTGTAGTTATGCACAGATAGATAGGTATTGGTGAAAATGTGGGGTGCATGCTTTCTTTTTTGGTTATGCACACATGATAGTGCATTTGAGATTTTTATTGCTCATCATGCGTAAAAATCCATGTATGGACTATTAAGTTTATATGCATTAAAGATGTTTGATGTTATTAATCCAAATTTTTATATTGTACCACTCTTATGTTGTTGATGTTGAATGTATAAACCAGGGTAATGACAAAAAGCAAAAACAATGTTCTTAAATGTTAATCAATTAGCTACTAAAGTTTCCAAAACTCATATACAATCGGTTACTAAATTATTTAGATGCAAAAATTTAATTTTAATAACTAAATCATTAGTTGCCAAATATAAGAAACCAAATTAGGCATACACACTCCTTAACTAAAAACGAAATGTTTTTATCACTAATTTTTTTCTCATAAAATCACATATTCTGTAAATAATTTCATAGTAGCAGAAAGTAATTTACCAAATTTTGGTTCAACATTCAATGTTTAAAATTATTGGAATTTATCACAATTTTTTTGCTTACTAAAAGATAAATTCTTCAACTAATAGAATAGTTGCAAAACACTTTTACCAAATTACTTTTACACATTCAGTGTCTAAATTTTTTGGAATTCACTACTAATTTTTTCTCACTAAAAGATGAATTCTTCAACTAATTGAATAGTTGTGATACACTTTTACCATATTATCCTTACATATTCAGTGGAGCACTATTTCAAATTGTAATTAGTAACTAAATTGCTAGTTGTTAAAGAAAACCTTTCCTCGTCTAACCTAATATTTAGTTGCCCATTCTTCCTAGGACAACGATTCAGCAACTAAATGGCAACTACGTAAGTTTA